CGGGGTTTTAGGAGGCTAATTTTTTGGGATAATGTAGAGAGTAATAATGTTACTAAAATCCACCTAGTTAGAATACCGCATAAAGCCTAGTTTTCCTTAAAAAAATAAAGATGTATAAATAAATGGGTACTTGTAAAATAAAGGGTACTTTTTCTATATGACGCCGGGGTTTTAGGAGGCTAAATTTTTGGGATAATGTAGAGAGTAATAATATTACTAAAATCCACCTAGTGAGAATACCGCATAAAGCCTAGTTTTCCTTAAAAAAAATAAAGATGTATAAATAAATGGGTACTTGTAAAATAAAGGGTACTTTTTCTATATGACGCCGGGGTTTTAGGAGGCTAATTTTTTGGGATAATGTAGAGAGTAATAATGTTACTAAAATCCACCTAGTTAGAATACCGCATAAAGCCTAGTTTTCCTTAAAAAAAATAAAGATGTATAAATAAATGGGTACTTGTAAAATAAAGGGTACTTTTTCTATATGACGCCGGGGTTTTAGGAGGCTAATTTTTTGGGATAATGTAGAGAGTAATAATGTTACTAAAATCCACCTAGTTAGAATACCGCATAAAGCCTAGTTTTCCTTAAAAAAAATAAAGATGTATAAATAAATGGGTACTTATAAAATAAAGGGTACTTTTTCTATATGACGCCGGGGTTTTAGGAGGCTAATTTTTTGGGATAATGTAGAGAGTAATAATGTTACTAAAATCCACCTAGTTAGAATACCGCATAAAGCCTAGTTTTCCTTAAAAAAAATAAAGATGTATAAATAAATGGGTACTTGTAAAATAAAGGGTACTTTTTCTATATGACGCCGGGGTTTTAGGAGGCTAAATTTTTGGGATAATGTAGAGAGTAATAATATTACTAAAATCCACCTAGTGAGAATACCGCATAAAGCCTAGTTTTCCTTAAAAAAAATAAAGATGTATAAATAAATGGGTACTTGTAAAATAAAGGGTACTTTTTCTATATGACGCCGGGGTTTTAGGAGGCTAATTTTTTGGGATAATGTAGAGAGTAATAATGTTACTAAAATCCACCTAGTTAGAATACCGCATAAAGCCTAGTTTTCCTTAAAAAAAATAAAGATGTATAAATAAATGGGTACTTGTAAAATAAAGGGTACTTTTTCTATATGACGCCGGGGTTTTAGGAGGCTAAATTTTTGGGATAATGTAGAGAGTAATAATATTACTAAAATCCACCTAGTGAGAATACCGCATAAAGCCTAGTTTTCCTTAAAAAAAATAAAGATGTATAAATAAATGGGTACTTGTAAAATAAAGGGTACTTTTTCTATATGACGCCGGGGTTTTAGGAGGCTAATTTTTTGGGATAATGTAGAGAGTAATAATGTTACTAAAATCCACCTAGTTAGAATACCGCATAAAGCCTAGTTTTCCTTAAAAAAAATAAAGATGTATAAATAAATGGGTACTTGTAAAATAAAGGGTACTTTTTCTATATGACGCCGGGGTTTTAGGAGGCTAATTTTTTGGGATAATGTAGAGAGTAATAATGTTACTAAAATCCACCTAGTTAGAATACCGCATAAAGCCTAGTTTTCCTTAAAAAAAATAAAGATGTATAAATAAATAGGTACTTGTAAAATAAAGGGTACTTTTTCTATATGACGCCGGGGTTTTAGGAGGCTAAATTTTTGGGATAATGTAGAGAGTAATAATGTTACTAAAATCCACCTAGTTAGAATACCGCATAAAGCCTAGTTTTCCTTAAAAAAAATAAAGATGTATAAATAAATAGGTACTTGTAAAATAAAGGGTACTTTTTCTATATGACGCCGGGGTTTTAGGAGGCTAAATTTTTGGGATAATGTAGAGAGTAATAATGTTACTAAAATCCACCTAGTTAGAATACCGCATAAAGCCTAGTTTTCCTTAAAAAAAATAAAGATGTATAAATAAATGGGTACTTGTAAAATAAAGGGTACTTTTTCTATATGACGCCGGGGTTTTAGGAGGCTAATTTTTTGGGATAATGTAGAGAGTAATAATGTTACTAAAATCCACCTAGTTAGAATACCGCATAAAGCCTAGTTTTCCTTAAAAAAAATAAAGATATATAAATAAATGGGTACTTGTAAAATAAAGGGTACTTTTTCTATATGACGCCGGGGTTTTAGGAGGCTAATTTTTTGGGATAATGTAGAGAGTAATAATGTTACTAAAATCCACCTAGTTAGAATACCGCATAAAGCCTAGTTTTCCTTAAAAAAAATAAAGATGTATAAATAAATGGGTACTTGTAAAATAAAGGGTACTTTTTCTATATGACGCCGGGGTTTTAGGAGGCTAATTTTTTGGGATAATGTAGAGAGTAATAATGTTACTAAAATCCACCTAGTTAGAATACCGCATAAAGCCTAGTTTTCCTTAAAAAAATAAAGATGTATAAATAAATGGGTACTTGTAAAATAAAGGGTACTTTTTCTATATGACGCCGGGGTTTTAGGAGGCTAAATTTTTGGGATAATGTAGAGAGTAATAATATTACTAAAATCCACCTAGTGAGAATACCGCATAAAGCCTAGTTTTCCTTAAAAAAAATAAAGATGTATAAATAAATGGGTACTTGTAAAATAAAGGGTACTTTTTCTATATGACGCCGGGGTTTTAGGAGGCTAATTTTTTGGGATAATGTAGAGAGTAATAATGTTACTAAAATCCACCTAGTTAGAATACCGCATAAAGCCTAGTTTTCCTTAAAAAAAATAAAGATGTATAAATAAATGGGTACTTGTAAAATAAAGGGTACTTTTTCTATATGACGCCGGGGTTTTAGGAGGCTAATTTTTTGGGATAATGTAGAGAGTAATAATGTTACTAAAATCCACCTAGTTAGAATACCGCATAAAGCCTAGTTTTCCTTAAAAAAAATAAAGATGTATAAATAAATGGGTACTTATAAAATAAAGGGTACTTTTTCTATATGACGCCGGGGTTTTAGGAGGCTAATTTTTTGGGATAATGTAGAGAGTAATAATGTTACTAAAATCCACCTAGTTAGAATACCGCATAAAGCCTAGTTTTCCTTAAAAAAAATAAAGATGTATAAATAAATGGGTACTTGTAAAATAAAGGGTACTTTTTCTATATGACGCCGGGGTTTTAGGAGGCTAAATTTTTGGGATAATGTAGAGAGTAATAATATTACTAAAATCCACCTAGTGAGAATACCGCATAAAGCCTAGTTTTCCTTAAAAAAAATAAAGATGTATAAATAAATGGGTACTTGTAAAATAAAGGGTACTTTTTCTATATGACGCCGGGGTTTTAGGAGGCTAATTTTTTGGGATAATGTAGAGAGTAATAATGTTACTAAAATCCACCTAGTTAGAATACCGCATAAAGCCTAGTTTTCCTTAAAAAAAATAAAGATGTATAAATAAATGGGTACTTGTAAAATAAAGGGTACTTTTTCTATATGACGCCGGGGTTTTAGGAGGCTAAATTTTTGGGATAATGTAGAGAGTAATAATATTACTAAAATCCACCTAGTGAGAATACCGCATAAAGCCTAGTTTTCCTTAAAAAAAATAAAGATGTATAAATAAATGGGTACTTGTAAAATAAAGGGTACTTTTTCTATATGACGCCGGGGTTTTAGGAGGCTAATTTTTTGGGATAATGTAGAGAGTAATAATGTTACTAAAATCCACCTAGTTAGAATACCGCATAAAGCCTAGTTTTCCTTAAAAAAAATAAAGATGTATAAATAAATGGGTACTTGTAAAATAAAGGGTACTTTTTCTATATGACGCCGGGGTTTTAGGAGGCTAATTTTTTGGGATAATGTAGAGAGTAATAATGTTACTAAAATCCACCTAGTTAGAATACCGCATAAAGCCTAGTTTTCCTTAAAAAAAATAAAGATGTATAAATAAATAGGTACTTGTAAAATAAAGGGTACTTTTTCTATATGACGCCGGGGTTTTAGGAGGCTAAATTTTTGGGATAATGTAGAGAGTAATAATGTTACTAAAATCCACCTAGTGAGAATACCGCATAAAGCCTAGTTTTCCTTAAAAAAATAAAGATGTATAAATAAATGGGTACTTGTTAAATAAAGGGTATTTTTTCTATATGACGCCGGGGTTTTAGGGGGCTAATTTTTGGGGATAATGTAGAGAGTACTAATGTTACTAAAATCCACCTAGTTAGAATACCGCATAAAGCCTAGTTTTCCTTAAAAAAAATAAAGATGTATAAATAAATGGGTACTTGTAAAATAAAGGGTACTTTTTCTATATGACGCCGGGGTTTTAGGAGGCTAAATTTTTGGGATAATGTAGAGAGTAATAATGTTACTAAAATCCACCTAGTTAGAATACCGCATAAAGCCTAGTTTTCCTTAAAAAAAATAAAGATGTATAAATAAATGGGTACTTGTAAAATAAAGGGTACTTTTTCTATATGACGCCGGGGTTTTAGGAGGCTAATTTTTTGGGATAATGTAGAGAGTAATAATGTTACTAAAATCCACCTAGTGAGAATAACGCATAAAGCCTCGTTTTCTGAAAAAAAAAATTTCTCATATAGCGTGGTATTAGGGGATTCTATTTGCAATAACAGAAATTTAAATAGTCTATAAAGCTTAATTGATCTAACAATTTAAATTTTATTTAATTCTAGAATTAAATAAAAAATATAATATAAAACGGTAAATGAATCTACAGTTACTAAGGAGAGCAATGCTATAAAGGTATTTTTCCAATCAAAAAAGTTAGAAAGGCTTCATATTATTAAATTAATATTTAATATTATTTTATCAGAGATTATCTCTAAGGAATATTTTAAATAACAGAACATTGTGTAGAATTTCCTTGCTAATCACTTAATTGTACAGTGTAAACCTGTCTTAGTGGTGGGGGAAGAGCGCTGGATATCGGAGCTAATGATGGGCGCTAACTTCACACAAGTTATTATTTTAAACTCCTCTATTAAGTTATTTAGAAATAATATACGTACCATGGACATCCAGGCATCTACGCTGAATGTACTCGATTCGAGGTTCTAGCAGAAATTCATTGTTAGTCGATTTAATTCATAATTTTCTTTAACTTATACTTACGAAGTTGAAATACTTCAACACTAATTTGAATGATACCGTGGTGGAATTTTGATGATTAGCAACAGGTCTAACGGAGCTGTCGTAGTTGCAAAGGACCGCATCTTTCAATTTTACGTATGTCGTTCCCGAATTGCTCGGGGGGCAATTTAAATCGTCTGCACCAGCTGTTGCGACAAATAAAACTCATTTTACTTTTTTTTGAATAATTATTTACAAAAAAGTTCGGTTAAATTCTTCTTCTTTTCGGTTTAATTAAAATTTTAATATTTTACAGGATTGACATATTTGGCCTTGTTCTATTTACTTATCTGCATAAAGTTTAGTTGCCAACGTTTGATCTGTTGCTATGTGGTTTTTCAGCATCCCATTTTTAAAATTTCAAATTAATTAAAATTTTCAATAAAACTGAGTAAAAAGTGTTCAATTCAACTAATGGCATTTCGATATTTAAAATATTTTCATTAATAACGCTAAACAGATTCTTAAACACTAAACTACTTTTAATTAATTAATTACTTATCAAGTGATTAAATTATGAAATTGCGTCAATTAAATTAAATCGTACAAACAACAAAACTTACGAAAGTGGTACTGCTCAGTCAATGTTACAAAAAACAGCAGGTAAAAATATTTGATGAACATGTTTAACGTAAATAATAATAAGTAATGAGACTCGACGTTTTATATTCACCTATGATTTATTAATAAAATCTAAATAACCACTAAAAAAGACCTTGGAATGAACATCAAACCGGAAATTTATCAACATATTCAACTGCAATTTGCTGGATCTATTACCGACGTGATGTAAAATCGAATTCATAGGTAGCTCAATGGTAATTACCAGTTTAATTATTACACATCTGTATCTATAGGAAGCACAACAAAACCGTATTTTATTTTGTAGTGAGCTTAGAAAGATTACTTAACATCCGGTTTAAGGCTTTGTTTGTTAAGAATTTATGCTACAGATAAAATACCTGTCTCAAAAAAAACCGAAAATTAAACCTAAATTAAAGTGCAAGTCTACAAATAATTAATTCTTACCAGCTAAAGTGACCGAAAGCACCGCAAGAGTCCACGCGAACATGGCGAAGATTGCTTATACAATACCAAGCAACTGTTAAATAACTGCGACACCCGATATTCTCCACCCTCGGCGCCGATTTGATAACAGCCTTGTTAACCTATATATTTAAAAACTGTTCACTATCTCGCGACGGGTACCCAATATCACTACACTACATTAGTTTCGGATTTATTTGGTGTAAAATCATCGGCAATATGTGCAAAACGTCGGCGAAATTACTGACTAAACGATTAACTATTGGAGAGTTAATAATTAATAATTTTTCGTGAGTCGAGAAAACGAGAACTTGGAAATTCCGAGATGGTCGAAAATGAAATCATACGCTGAACAATGGAGTAGGAGAAACATTAACATACCTGCGATATGCAAATGGAGCGGTATCCCGTCAAATTGACCCAATGGCAAAATCGCCCGAGATGGAAAATTTGTTTGTTAAGCGATTTTGTCTTTGGGCTATTTTGTTTTGGGCAATTTTATCTTTGGGCTATGTTGCGTTTGGGCTGTTTTGTCTTGGGCCATTTTATCATTGGGATATGTTGTCTTGGGCTATTTTGCGTTTGGACTATGTTTTCTTGGGCTATTTTGACTGCGTCACGAAATGCAACATCTCGTTGTAATTTTCCCATCAAACCTACGAATTAACAGAGAATCATTTATTGAAACAACAAACAGGAAGCCTTACCTATGATTAAAATTCGAAAGGGAAATATAAACGAACTCAGTTCAATTGATTTTATTAAGCAACTTTACATTAAAGCCTCTCATGGTCTGTACAGAAGGTAATTTTCTACAAATACTATCGAACAAACGCCCTAAAAGGAAATCTAGCAAACACAATGTTATAGAAAAAAAAATAAACAATAAACGTATAATTATAACCTTATTATTTATTGTCTACTATAAAATATAAAAAAGAGGCACCGAAATATACAATTAAGATTTATACAAAACACGTTTGTGGAGTTTGTCGAATTTCGAATCGCAAAATTATAATTACTGTAATGATAAATTCGCCTTGCATTGCACCGTAATTATGAATATTATTTTGAGGTAATTGTTCGAAGAGAGCTACACACAAAAATTATAAACCAGCGAATTTAATTCAAGACAAACACCAGCGATAGCAATAAAAAAAATGTCATGGCATATTTACAGAAGATTACAACATGTACAGACTGCGTTCAATCTTAAGAGAGAAAAAAAATGTAATATATCGATACAAACATCCCATTAAAACTGGAATGGAGCTCTTTTAATAAAAAATAAAAGGTTGTTCTCGAAGATCCAATACAGTTTACAAACTCGCATTTAATTAGGAGCACATCAAGCGATATATCATTAACATATTAGGTTTGTTCTAATAAAGGCATTGGACCGTTCTGACCTTTTGTACCTTTCGTTTAATTTTGATAATTTTTGTTACATTATTACAGAGCTCAAACGACAATTAATATAAATACCGATTTTGTACAAACTATATTGAACCTTCCGATAAGATAAGTCTAGTCTCTTAATGATTTATAATAAAAGAAGACATTAAAAAATACACAGTACCTAATAGGTCAGTATCATCAGTCTACTACAAAGTATTCCTCTAGCATGACTTTTCGAAAAGACATTATGCCTTTATTACACTATTTACATTTAATAATAATTAATATTAATTATAATGCTTTACAACGTTCTGCGCGCCGTCGCAGCACAGCTGAATTCTTCTCATCCGGGAAAATCGAAATTTCCAATCGAATTCGATCCTTCGCGAATCGGAGAAGAATCGTAGGGTGGCGATGACAATTATAAAACTAATTTTCTTACAGCTTGAAAATTTGGAGATTCCCCGAAACGAAACAACTCCCGAACAGTTCGCAAGTTCCTGGCGGTTTCCGTGTAAAAAAAATGTCAATCGGGAACTTCGAAATTACAATAAAAAAAAACAAACAAACAATAAAACGAAAAAAACGAAACGAAAACAGTACAGAGCGGGTACACGTAACTATAAAAAAGTGACAAATAAAAAAATTCATGGAATGCTTATAGTCACACTACAACACTGCTGCGTTTTTAACAGTCCGATATAGCTAAGAGGAGCACGAAGACGAGCCTCATTTCGTCGGATAAGGATTGATGACCGTCACAGCGGCCGCCTGCTGACTAGCCAGTACCGCAGCTACAATAAATAACACAGTATAAATATACTTATTACACACCCATTGATCATTTACATAAGCCTGTATCACCACGTCAATTGTCACGTGTCTTGTATTCAAACCAGAGAAACCCCAACCTGAGTTAGTCAACCTAACTCAACCAAGAAGACCTTGACCAAGATACTTCAATCTAACCTGACATCAAGTCAATCAAGAAGATATTGTTTAACATAGCTCAACATAACTCGATCTCAAGTCGACATTGTTCAAGATAGATCAACATAACTCGATCTCAAGTCGACATTGTTCAATATAGATCAACATAACTCGATCTCAAGTCGACATTGTTCACGCTAGATCAACATAACTCGACCTCAAGTCGACCAAAGAGACATTGTTCAAGATAGATCAACCTAAATCTACCTCAAGTCCACCAAGGGGACTCTGATCAAGATAGGTCAAACCTAATGATACCATAGCGTCACACGATTATATTGAATTTGACTTGAAACCGTAATGAGTCATATACGCCTAAGAAGATAACCCATAACCTGTAGGTTCACAACCTAAAATGGTTAGAATTCATGTTCTATGTAAATAACATTTTGTTTGAATACAAATCACCGTGACAACGCACCGCGGTGAGCAATTCACGGGTACTCTTATAGGTACTCACCGCCATAAGGCGCGGGATACATGGGATACCCGAGCCCGACGTGGGTGTGATGGTGCGTGTGAACGTGCCGCTGCGGAGGCGGCGACCTCGACTCCTTCCCCTCGCCGGCGGGTTGTTTGCCGCCCGACGGCGGCATGCCGCCCGGCTGCGACGTCGGCGGCGCGTTCATTTGCACTTGCCCGGCCGCCTGGGGACCGCCCTGCGACGCGGGACCGCCGCCGCCGCTGCCTCCTCCTCCGCCGCCGCCCTGGCCGCCGCCGCTGTTCGTCGACGGGCTGGAGCTGGCCATGGAGGTCTTAGGCGTCGGCGATTTGATGGCGCGCTCTTGGAGCTCGTGGATCTTGTGCGACGAGTAGTATTGGGTGGCGTGGTGCTGGAGCATGTCGAGGGCTTTGGTCGGAGGTGGTGGCCGCGACAGGTCTTCAGGGGCGTGATACCTGCAAGAGACACCAGAAATTCTTTAATGTCTATCCCTATCGATAGAACACGGTTTCGATTTAGTTCGGGGATCGACGCGTCGGTTTTTGATGCTTACCTTTGGATGGGCGGATGGAGGTAGGGGCCGCTGTAGGGACCGGGCACCATGATGCCCCTGTACATCGGGTGGTTGGGATCGAACGGCAGGGCGCCGTAGTGGGCTTGTTGCATGTAGCTCGGGTGGATGTAAGCGTATTGGGAGGTGGGCGGCGGCGGAGGACCTTGGGTCTCCATCGTCGGTTTTACACCTTCTTGTTTCACTTCTTTGTCTTTTTTCTCCTCCATTTTAATCTCTTTTTGTTTGATGCTCGGACTCGGAGGCATTTGTACCTAAAACATCAACGTATAATCGTACATTTCTCGCCTCGTATTCCCCGACGTTATCTCACCTTACTAGAACCTGTATTGGATTTGTGATCGGACATCGATTGCGATTCCTTGCGCCTCTGATCCGAGTACACGTAGAACCTGCGCACGTCGTCGTCCCTCTGCCCGTGGTGTCCTTGTTGCTGCTGCTGCTGTTGTTGTTGATGAGACGGTTGTTGTTGTTGCTGTTGCTGCTGGCTCATCTGTTGTTGTTGTTGCTGCTGCTGCTGGTTCATCTGCTGTTGCGATTGCCGCGAGTACATGTACGGGTTCATTTGGTTCTTGATTTCTATGCTCTCTTTCAGTATCTGATGGTTGTCGTTTTGGTGTTTGTCCTTGTGGCTGGAATCTTTTACCTTGCCGGGCGTAGGCACTTGAATGGGATTCGGTATGGGCGTCGGTTGTTTGACGTTTTGCTCGATGGGACTAGGGCTTTCTTTCAATCTTTCTTCTTTGATTTTATCGTCTTGTACCATTTGAACGCCTGCGGTAAATTTATAACGTTATTCCTGCTATTTTATGGGAATTTATTAAACGAACACTCACCACCGTAATTGGAATCCATATTATAGGCATAACCAGGAACATATCCGTAAGGGTAATAGTGCTGAGGTATCACTTTCGGGGGATAATCGCTGTCTTTTTTACCGTCTTTCGTCGGTTCCTTTTCACTAGGTTTTTCGGGTTCTTTCGCTTTGCTTTCGGGCGTCGACGGCACCAGGTACTGGTTGTGGTGCCCGTAGAAAGGATGGTACATACCGTACTGGGGCATATGGGCTAACGGTTGGCCGGTCTCCGCCTTCTTGTCTTGGCTCTTATTTTTTTCAGTCATGTCGGTTTCCATTACGGGAGCACCGTCGTCAGATATGTCCGAATACGCGGGACTTTGCACCTGAAACAACGCAAACATTCAATTACTCACAAGTTTCATTTCAATCGAGTCGACGAGCCGCTTACTTCGTCTCTACCGGTCTGTTCAGTCGACCCGAAAATGGGCTGCTCGGCCTGCGGCGGGTGCGGACTGCCGCCCGGCGACTTCCTGTTCTTCTTCTTCGAGAAATTGTGAGTCTTATTGCAGCCGGTCAGGCTCTGCGGCTGCTGCTTCTTGTCGTCGGGCATCAGCGCCGACGTCGGCTTCACTTTGAACTGGGATATCTTGGGACTAGGCGGCATGTTGTGGTGCGGCGACAGCGGCTGGCCGGCGTTGTTGGCGTTGTTTTGCGATGGTATAATGATGGAAGGCGATTGCGCGAACGACGCGGCCGACACGTTCGACTGCGTTTGCAACTGGTTGCTGAAAGACTGCGGTTGAGGCGCGGGCTCCGGCTGGCCGCCCAATTGGTCCAACGGCGCCGAGCCGGCTCGCGCCGTCGACAGTTGGTTCGAATTCGATATCGGCGTTCCTGCAACGGGGAAAACGATTAGTTAGGTTTGTTCCAGCGGCGTGTTTCGTGTTGTTACGAACATTAAGAGCATGCACAATGATTTTAAAACGTTCCAGCAGCGTGGAGAATTGTTGAGAATACGTTACCTTGAACTTGAGGTTTGCTTCCCGAGAACAGCCCGACGCCGACGGGATACTCGTCGGGCGAAGTATATCTCAAGACGCCGGGTTTGACGACGCTTTTCGGTTCGACGATAGGCACGGTGGGTGAACTGGCGACCGGCGGCAACTCTTGCACGCCCTGCGGCGTGGCCGGCGACGGCGGCGTACTCCTGGGCGTGCCCGGCTGGCTGGACACCTCCAGCAGATTCGCGCCCCTGAGCAACAACGGCAACTCCTCCTTCTTCGGTTGCGGCGGCGTCAGCGGCCCGTCCTGGCTCTTCTCCGGCGACTTGACGGCCACCATGCTGGGGCTGGGCGCCTCGATGTTCGACTCGTCGTTCTCCGACATCGAGGTGACGTCCTTGGCGTCGTCGTCGTCGGCGGAGCCGTGCGCGTGCGACTGGTGGTACTTCAAGCCGTTGATGTGCTTGTACTTCTTCGAGCAATTCGGTTCGGGGCATTCGAGCAGCACCGGCGAGGGCGGCGGGCTGGCGCACGGGGCCGGTGGGGCGGCCGTCGCCGTCGGCGCCGGCGACGCTTTCGGCTTCTTGACGGCGCCGCCGGGCTGCGGGGCGGCCTCCTCTTCGCCGGCGCGGCTTTTCCGCTTGTTCGTCGAGTCGACGCGCGGCGAGATGAAGGGGGTGGGAGACGACGGCGCCGTCGACGAACCGGTGCCGTTGGCGGCGCCGCCTCTTCGGCCTTTTACTCCCACGGGGCCGCTGTTGCCGCCGCCTCCGTTGCGGAGTTTGCTGTGTACCGACGATCGGGTTTCTGTAAACAAAAATCATTTGATATATTAACATGAGCTAAAAGGAATAGAATGATTTTAGTAGACTTAAGTAGAACCTTCATTATACGAGTTATGTAGTTGTTCAAATATGCATATTAACTTTAATGTGTAAAACATCTCTTATCAACAATTTTATTATCTCTGTTCTTGGGAGTAATTCTTATGTAAAGTCAGATATTTTGTTGAATTTAACAAACTAGTAGAAATTAATACTGACCTCTTCCTTTTGGTGTCCTATTATCCAAATCACTCGTAGGTGAATCACAGAATCTGAAAAAATATACATCATATATTAGCTTACAAGTAATTACTACTATAAAAAGATAAGACTTTTAACAACGTGAATTTCTAAACCAAATTTATGAAAATAACTAATATAGTATGTAGATAGAATCCAAAGGAGTGATAAATGAAAAACAACATCAAATGAACTTGAGGAAACGAAGCCCCTGTGTAGTGCAAATGGCAACGCACTCAATTTGCATAGAATACTTAAGCATATAAATTCGAATTCAACAATAGCGAACCATCAAATGCTAATATTACATAAGTAAATTCGAAATGAATTTAATTGTCGGTTACATTACCTTGGCGGAGCCCAATCGTGCTTGGTGCAATCGAGAAGAGTTCCTACATACGTTTTACCCCTCCATGTCACGTTCACGACGAGTACACCTGAAGAAACGGATAGAAAAAATAAATATGAGAAATGCCCACGGTGTTGTTTGCTTTGAAGAAGCTGCCGTGTATTTATTGGATGTTTGATTTACCTCCTTCGGTTTCGTGCCAGACTATGCCCTCCAAAGTGACGCTGGTGCCGGGTTCGCAGGGCCCAAGGCAATCGGGTTCCGTTATCGTTCCGACGCTGGTGCCGACACAAACATCGGCTACCTCCTAGAATAAAAAAAATATTTGGAATGTTGCTATGTGTTTCTTATAAGCTTAAAAAATATTTATATTATATCTTTATTATTCATCTGTATATTTAAGTGGTCCTCTTAATCAGAATTGGCTAATTTAATGCTTAATTTTTGCATAATTCGTTTAATATATTTAGTCGATTTATTTATTATTTACAACCTATACTAATAATATTTTTAGTAACTATATAATATTATCTTACATTTATGTATTGTTTATCAAGTTTACGTTCGTGCATTATGTATTATAGATAACACTTTTTTACCGATGTTTTTTTAGGAAATTGACGGAATAAATTAACACTTCTCTCGTAATATGTACTATACATTACACTTAAATAGAATAGAGATATGTCACAACTTCGAAATAGAGGCAAATCCTAGAAGCGCGCACACACCTTATTAAAATCTCAAATATTCTATACACATTAGGTATATTTTAGTCGAAAAATACGTTAAATATTATAAGTAAACATCGATAAGGTGCGTAAATATTTAACGAGCAAATCTAGATCCTGATGGATTATTCGCAAATAGATAGGACAACTTATTAGTTTTACACGAAATATATTTGACATTAATTAACAGTACGTTGATCTCCTCGGAGCAAACATTTATTTTGATTAGTGGTTTTTTGTTTCGAAGTTGAATATGGAAAATTTGGTTTTTGATCATCATTATTAATAAATTAGTATTTTCGCAACCATATAAGGTTTGTATAGATGCTTGGAATATTAAAATGAGTCCTAAAATTGTTGAAATGGCGCATTACAATGTAGTTTATAGATAGTTATCTGAATCTTATCTAGAGGTGAAAATACTGTCTGTTATCAATAATAATAGCTTGTTAGTAATAAATAATACTCATTTACTCAAGTGCTATCCTCCTAAAGTACCTTCAACAAATATCACATTTAATAACGAATTCCTCTTTCGAAACCCCAACAAACTACTTACACCAGACTTAGTACTAGACTCAAATCCAACAGCGATCCCGTGCCGCCTCCTGAACTTATCCAGCCATCCGGCGCTGGCCTGGAAACCATCCTCTTTGCCGAGCCTTCGGGCCGTCTCCAGGGCCCGCGCCCTTATCTCGCCGGCCGTCGGCGTCGCCCCGGCGCCGCCTTCGCGGATCCACTCGGCGACGGCGGCGTCGACGTCGCCGAACGTGCACGGCTTCAGCTTCTTGAGGCCGGAACCGCCGCCGTCGAAGGCGCGCTCGATGGACGCGCGGTTCTTGGTGATCGTCGACAGCGTGCTCACGGCCAGGTTGAATTTCTTGGCGACGTCTTTCTTCTTGACGCCCGAATCCACTTCGTTTAGCACTATCACTTTCTGCCGCACGGTGAGGCAGTTTCTCGATTTCCTGCCGGGCATCGCGATCGGTAAATTGGCACTGAATAAATCGTTGTTAACTCATCCACCGTGTTCGGGGGTTGGTACTGTTATGGTTTTTCGAAAGGGGGAATTCGTTATTTGGGGTACTTATTTGTATCGGTATTTAAGAACCCATTAAAGGCATTCGGGTGAAATAATGAGTTACTGTTAATTGTTTATGCATGCAAAATTGTAATCCCATTGTATCGCAGTTTATCTTAATTACACTTTGAACGGCTGCATTGAAACTTGTTGACAATACCTAACAAGTGGTTACCTAATACACAATAAATATTTCAAAGGAATTTAAAAATAGTTGATTAATTTATTTACGAGTTTAACCGAGAAAGTCTTATAAATGTAAACAAACAAATTTATTATATTTTCAAGTTTGAACAGGTGAAACTATCGGTTTGTTAGATTAATTATAACACATTTTAATTAATCTCAATTCATATACGAAATTATATCCCTCGTAAAGGAGGTAAAAAATATTTATACACCTAAAAAATCCCTCCTCGCAGAAACCTCTATTCCTAAAAGACTCAAAAATTCATCAAATAAACACCCCTAGCGTATGTTATACGCATACGCCGCACCTCATACGTATATTAACAAATCATCTATCTAAAATTACTATCAGATTGCGCGCCCTTTTCCCGTCCAATCCATCTTCGAAATTCATCTCCACAGATGACAATCGTAAGTGGAGCGATTACGGGGAGCGTTTCCTCCTTATCTCCACACCCTTCGCATTCGCCCGCACGCGGTTATTTCGATTCGCGTTTTCCGGCGGCCCCTTTTTCGCTTTTAAAGCAGTATATACTAAAGTCAAACGCCCGCGCCCTCGCGACCTCTCGCCCCCGCCCGCCGATACATCTTCAATACACCTAAATTTATTGGATGTTGATAAAAGATTTCCTATAATATTGCTTATATTTTCGTTAAAAATACCTCCCAAACTTTAAACGTTCTTGTAGAATGAAATTTAAAAAGTATCAGCAATTTTCTCGAGTTGTAAGAGACTTCAAAAGGGATTAATCACTTTAGAATCCAATCCATTATTAACGTAATTTAGTTACTAAACTTGGAAAAACTCGCTTAGGTTTAATTAAAAAAATAAACCGAGGAAATATTTTTGCTTTAGCTTTTGTCGCGAAATCCGGGGCAAAATTAACGAGCAATTAAAGTTAACGGTTACGAGGGCGATTCAACTAGTTCTCCAGACAATTAGCGGTTTATAAGCCGTTCGAACCAAGGGAAAAGACGTGCCGAGGGGGGCCGAGGGGGCGGCGATGTCGCTTGGAGAGGTCGTCGAGAAAGCCTGAGAGAACGTGCAGTCAATCGGGCGAATTCGTTTCTCTATTTTAAAGCAGGCAGGGTTGTAATTGAGTTTCCTTTGAGCCGGTCGCTCGAAGTTGAAATAGAGTTTGAGAATTTAAATTGGCTAGTTTTATTTAATTAAAATAGCTAAATAAAATCAAAACTTTGCAGTAAGTTCAAGAGGTTATTTCTGTAATTGTTTATTTTTCCTCGTAAATACGAAACGTTGTCTTTTATTAACATTGGTTTTGCAGCTACTTTTGAAGCGCCCGCTCGAAAGCAAAGTCGATTTATAAAATACATTGCCAGTGTAAACATTTCAATGGGATTTTCCGCGGAAAGCGGGCCAGTTCGATTCTCCACTTCGGCTTTTCTTCGCATCAAGCTAATAGAATTTGAGTCCTCCGCCTGCGCCGCCTTTGTTGGAAACCGGAATTCGCGAAGAGGCGAGAGAAAGAGGCAGAATAAACGGAGCAAGAAGGAGCCCGCGAGAGCGGCGGCGGGATAGCAAAGGACAGAGCCACACACAGAACGGCATTACAGACCGCAGTATTGATTTCGTCCACGTAATATCAACCGCCCCTTTCCGACCCGCGCCGCCCGCCGCCCCGCCGTCTTTTTCGCCATACACCGCCGCCGAAACCGCCCCTCGGTCCCTTTATCCCACGTGACGCTAGACAAACCGACCGATATATTCCACGCATCATCGAATCTCCGATGGGGGGTTTCCTCTTCACGAGAGAACGATATGCGTCAGGTAATTCCCCGGACGCAACCGCTACTCGCAAAATAAAGATTGCTAATCAACGAATTCACCTTAATTAACAGGCAAACTAATCGAAGTTTGTTGATTAAAATAATTAAAAAAAGGACCTATGGTCTAAAGAGACTTGATTTTTAATTAGCTGACTAGTTCTATAAAAAGAATGATGGTACTACACTTACTTAGTCCTTAGTTCTTTAGTACTCTTTACTATACTTTAGCTATCATTAAATTAATCTTAATAAATTGTATTATAAATAGAAGCATGTATTTAAAGTGTTATACAATAACATTACTGCAGTAAAAGACTACTATATTACGGATTCATTAGTCAAATATCTAATTATTGCAGTGATTTTTAGCACTATGAGTACCACTTATAAAACCCTGTATAATAGAAAATGTATTGCTTAAAAACGTGTACAATACTCGATAGCTCTATCACAGTAATTAATCATTTCTATCGCATCCTAGCATTAAAAACGCGCCGCGTTCGAGGAATTAACAAAAGCCCTACTAGGCAATTAATACGAAAAAGGAAGTATGATGACTGCGCTCATCTTTTTCGATTAAGCGAACGACCTGGGGCTTCCGTTTGACAGATGGAAGTCGTCACGGCATCCCCTAGGCCTAAATACGGCGCGTTCTCGACCCCCTATTCGGCGTTTCGCTCGCCGGAAACTTTTCCCTTGTTCCCTCCGCGCGGTGCGCGCCCCACAATGGGTACCGGCGAAGGACTCTTTGTCCGGATTGCTTTATTACGACACTTAAGGTTGTCGTCGTATTTCTTTTTTCTCGGGTTTCGCGGGGCGGCGGTGCCGGTGGATGAAAAAAATAAAGAGGAATGAAATAGAACGGAGAATGGACTGTTTAAGGGAGTCTGAATGATTTAAAGGGTAATTATGTAAGATTCGATGAAAGGGATAATGGAGGAATTTTTTTTTTCGATGGGCCGGTTTGTTGACGTTTGCCTGTTGATTTTAGTACGAAAACTGGTGGTAATATTAGTGTGAAAATGTTCATATGATAATGTAATAAAACTGGATTTTTTTACGCTTTCAGAAACAAAGCTATTGTGTTTGAAAAAAAAACGAGGTTAACCAATTTTCTAAAAAAAATTAATCTAAATGGATTACTAAATTTTGAATTACCTCATATAAATAGAGTAGAACAACTAATATAGAAATTATAGTCCGTTCATCATCAAGAGATACTCATAAAACCTAATAAAACTTTGAGGCTTTTACCATTACCGCAATAGTACTGTTTATTTTACTTCAGTAGTGTATCTATACACTCTGTATACAGGGTATACAATAATAGGCAGCCCTTATCTAATCTTAGATAAAGTTAGCTGAAAACAGTCATACTTCTTGGATATTAAATATGTACTAAAAGAATGTAATGGAATTAAAAATTACTTAGAATAAAATTAAACATCGCTTTCACTGTTATCTGAATATATCCGTTTACTACCAGTAATTGTTAGTGATTTATCAAATTAATCAATA